TATTACTAGCATATATATTGTTACAAATCGTAATTATTCTTTATACCCCTTGTCCAATCTTTCCCCATCCCCCTCTCCCTCAAACCTCCCCCTCTAATTGCCCTAGATTTCTTCTCTCCTTCTGAAAGAATAATAGTTACTCTGTTAACTTGTTGCCTAGATGATCTGTCTAATGCTGAGAGATGTGATCAGGTCCCCCAATATTATCATAGAGCAGATGCTTCTTCTGTCACTCTGGAATGGGTTTTGTGGAAAGAGACATCCTCTTCTTTTCTTTGTCTCTGCTGGTGACTCTTCTGTGTGAATGCACTCCAGTGGTTGGCGGACCATCTGCGTGGTGGCTGTGGTGTCTAGCCGCTTTTGCAGCAGCCATGGTTACTGTGGTGGCTGTGGTGGGCCACCCACGTGGGGGTGCTGTTTTTGGCATGCTCCTTGGCACTAGCGGTATGCCTGGTTGTGGGGTGTGTTTGGTCCCCTTCTCCATGCCTCTGGTCCCTGGGTGGGGCCCAAGGTGCTGGCGTGGTGTGCCTGGTTGTGGGAGGGTGGTCCAGTTCCCTTCTCCATGTTTCAGGTCCATGGGTGGGCCCCGAGGTACAGGCGCAGTGTGCCTGGTTGTGGGAGGGAGGTCCGGTCCCCATCACCATGCCCCGGGTCCCTGGGTGGGCTCTGAGATGCTGGCATGTTGTGCCTGGTTGTGGGAGGGTGGTCCGGTCCCCTTCTCCATGCCCTGGGTCCCTGGCAGGGCCCAAAGTGCTGGCATGGTGTGCCTGGTTGTGGAAGGGTGGTCCAGTCCCCTTCTCCATGTCTCAGGTCCCCAGGCAGGCCCTGAGGCACTGGTGCAGTGTGCCTGGTTGTGCGAGAGAGTTCCAGTCCCCAACTCCATACCCCGGGTCCGTGGGTGGGCCCCGAGGCACTGGCTCAGTGTGCCTGGTTGTGGGAGAGAGGTCCAGTCCCCTTCTCCATGCCTCAGGTCCCCGGGTGGGCCCTGAAGCGCTGGCTCAGTGTGCCTGGTTGTGGGAGAGAGGTCCATTCCCCTTCTCCTTGCCTCAGGTTCCCGGGCAGGCCCCAAGGTGCTGGCGTGGTGTGCCTGGTTGTGGGAGGGTGGTCCGGTCCCCATCACCATGCCCTGGGTCCCTGGTTCAGTGTGCCTGGTTGTGGGAGAGAGGTCCGGTCCCCTTCTCCATAGCCTGGGTCCCTGGGCGGGCCCCAAGGTGCTGGCGTGGTGTGCCTGGTTGTGGGAGAGAGGTCCAGTCCCCTTCTCCATGCCTTGGTTCCCCAGGCCCGCCCTGAAGTGCTGGCTCAGTGTGCCTGGTTGTGGGAGAGAGGTCTGTTCCCCTTCTCCTTGTCTCAGGTCCCCGAGCTGGCACGAAGGTCCTGGTGTGGTGTGCCTGGTTGTGGGAGTGGGGTCCAGTACTCTTCTCCATGCTTCAGGTTCCCAGGCTGGCCCCGACGCACTGGTGCCGTCTGTCTGGAAGTGGGAGTGGGGTCTGGTCCCCAGATCCAAGCCTCCAGTTCCCAGGCAGGCCCCAAGGTGCTTGTGGTGTGCCTGGCCCAGAACTAATTTTTTGTCCTTTGCTTCTAACACGGAGGAACTTCCTGTGGGAACGAGTACTTGAGTGTGTGGTTGTTTAAATTGCTACTTTGCTGCTGTTTCCCTAGGGAAGGCTTTTTGTGCAGCTCAGGGTTTAATGGATGACCTTAAAGTTCTTCTGGCTCTCCAGAGACCCAGTGGATCTGTGTTCTGTAGAATCTCTGATCTGGGCCTGAGTTTTTTCATCAAACTGCACCCCATGGAATTCTGTATTCCCGACCAGTTGCCTCTGAGTGGTCCTGTGCTGATGGGGGGGCAGATCAGCTGTCCTTGCTGTGTCCCAGTGTTCCCCTGGTGGGCCTGTCTCCCCCACTGCCCATGCTGCAAACGCTTCCCATGGGACGGGCCATGCGCCGGTCCCTTGTGATGAGGCCTCTGAGTGGCTCCCTTTTTTTAGTTGTTCTGGCTCCTTGCTCCTGCATAGGTCCACATGAACCCTATTAGTGGTCTTGCTGTCCTGGGGCCGCCAAGGCCCTCATCTCTCCTGCCACCTCCAAGTAACTCCATCTGAAGGGCACAGCTGCAGCTTCTGCCGGCTCCTGCTCCATGCGCTCAGCAGCTCGAGCCTTAAAGCAGCCACGGTCCGAAATGCTCAAAGCAGCTTTTTCTTTCTTTCATTGTAGTTTCTCCTGCCTTCATGAACTCCATAGGTCTCTCCTCCTCTTCCCCTGAGCTCCAGCAGCCCCGGCTTGGCTGATGTTACATTTTTATAGCTGTAAATTCGTTGATTTGTGGGAGAGAGTGATGCTGTGGACCATCTATTCCACCATCTTGACTGGATCCCAAAGAATAAAAGTATAATAGGATAAAAATGGGTTGGAAGCAAAAGTTAAATAGGAAAATATTCCTTCCCACTATCACTTCAGAGCCATGACGAACATATTAATTAAGGCTAATTGAGAAATGTGCTTGATTCTAAACATCAGATGGTAAAAAATGGGAAAACAGAAAAAGGCATGAAGAAAAAAATATTTCATTTACTTTATGTCATAAACATAGCAAACTCTCACTACTTAGTTTTTATATTTTAAATTGTACTTTAACTATTTTTATTTATTCTTATCCATGGATCATATTATTTTTAAAAGAAAACATTTAAAAAGCAAGTTACAATAGTATGTGCTATCTGTTCTTGAACTAGCCTCACAGCTAAGTTAGTTTTGAGTGTAAGTCATGAAACAGTGCTGAACACAACTGAAATTTCACTGTGGCCAATGGCTAATCGAACTGTCTAATTTGTGGGATATACAAAATATGACCTTTGGGAAATACAACTTAGGTATGCCAAAATAATGTTCAAATAAATGTTTGGGATTCACACAATAAAAGGGAAAAGAAATATCTATAACTGAGACCTTCAAAGAATGTATTCATATATCCCAAAAACATAACTTACTGCTTCAGTGTAAGCTTCACTGTTCTGTTCTTCGTGAGCTTCTAGAAGTTTCTGGTAGCATAAAAATATGTAAACGTTAGCTTTTGTACCAATATTTCTGAATTTCCTGTTTCTGAACATAATGCTTATTTTATTACAGTCCTGACCCTAATGGCATTTGAACACGTACAAGGCAAAAGAAGGGAAGTCATTTCCCCTCAGTTAGCAGACTATCCAGATTAAATCTCCACTTTATACCCAGTCCCATTTAGGTGTTGTCACCTGATAGCAGAGGCTTTTTTCTTCAAAGTTTAAATATTACTTACTTTCAATAATTTACATTCTCTTGAGTCGGTAAATGCTGGAAACATTTCCTCATATTTCTCAAGGGCAAGCTGAGGAGAGAAAAACCACTCATCAATGTCGGACTTACTCAACTAGGAAACAAAGCTTTCAACATCCTATAATTTCATTAAGATTTGTCTACATCTAATTTATGTGTTTAAGAAGCATGCTGTTAAACTCCACATCAGAATCAACACAGGACACCTATTTATTTTGAATTTTCTATTTCAATTAAGACTATAAATTTCTAAACCAGTTTTTCTAAGTTAGGCTGTGGCAGAAGAGACATTGTGAATGAACTTTGATTCTTAAAAACTCACAGACCAGGCATCTGTATTCACCCAGTAAACAGAGAAGCTCTTCCTTAACACTGTCCTGATTCCAAATAAATCACACTTAGATTACTACTCAAGGTTGGAGAAAAGAGTGCTTTTTCTCTTTGCAGCCGCAATTTTGCTCCTCCACCTCCAGACACTGACACGCCAAGCTGCCCAGTCTTCCCCTCTTATCTCCCAGGTTTTGCTTTGCTTTCAACTTCTCCAATCCTCATTCCAACCCCATTTCTGAGCATTTTTAAAGGGTACTATTCTACTTTTATTGTCTTCTCTTTAGTTCCCTAACTTCTTAAAAGCAAACCTACTGAAGGAAATGTGGCTACCAGAAAACTTTAAGAGAACAGCTTTGGCAGCTGTTAAAAGATTACAGCTGGGACACATATCACAAAATTAATATTATTTTTAATATCCCCAGTTTAGTCTTGCTACTGACACCCAAATGAAATGATATTGAGAACTACAGAACACCTGTACATAAGGCCTGTTCTCATGGGTAAAGTGTTGAGAAAGAATGTTGAAGGACTCCTTACCTTGGCATTCAACTCATCTACTATGAAGTGACAGAGGGCTGCTTTAAAGAAGTAATCCTTTGCACTATACTTCAACAAAGGATTATCCATGGTGTTGGCTCCAACCTAGGCACAGAAAGCAGAGTTAAATTTAAAAGAATAACCTTCTTATACTAGGCAAAATAATCATCTTTTGCCCTGCAGAAAATACTTATGCACCTTATGTTGGTTTAGATATAAAATACATTCTTTTAACCCAACACTAGACAGTAGAAAATTTTACTAGACAAGAAACATATTAAATACATTAAGTGTTAACCTGTTAAAATGACTCACAAAACTTCTGCTTCCTAGTAGGAGGAGACATCCTTTCCCCTGTTCCTCCCGCTAAGTACAACTAAAAGCCCTGATCATTTTATATGAAATAAACATCTGTGAAAGGCAGATAGGTGGACAAAAGGGGTCAGACCAGTGAGAGATTGTGAAACCCGAGGGAAAACATGGTGGTGGGTTCCCTGGTTTTTCTTTTTCCTTCTTACGTCCCTGATAAGAAATTGAAGAATCAGCAATCTGGAAATGCCAGTAGGTGCAGATCAAAAAAGAAAACACAAAAGTCTGCTCTCTCTACTAAAGGACTAGGAAAGGGCAGTATAGCAAAAGAGAAAATGTTTAGACAATAACTGCTCTACTCCAGCCAAACACCATAGAAAAGCCACGGCCCCACCCCCGCTTACATCAGCAAAGGGAGCCTTCATGTCCGTTCTTGCAAGACTGTAAGGGGAACCAACACGCCTGCCGAGGTGGCTTCCAAGAAGACAAAATAAGGAGCAAGGACTTCATCCCTGCCCTCCACCCCACCTCTACGGCTGTGCAGACCACCTCCACCCAGCAGAAACAAGGCATTTCCCAGCTAGTGTGGGGTCAGAAGAGGTCTAATGGACAGTGAAGACTTTCATCATCACCAAATGGCAACAAGGACAACCCCAGCAAGGTTCTGGGGGATGTCCAACTCTGCCCAGGAGTAATGAGGGCCTTCCTCCCTCAGAGGTCAATGGAGGCCCAGTAGGGAGCCTGAAGTTCTACTTCCAGCTGGCAATAATGAGGCAACACTCCCCACCTTCCCAGCCAGAGGCGTGTCAAAAAAGTCCAGCCGAAAGAAAAGTTTTCATAAGAACCAGTCTCATAACATAATGTGAAAACGGCCTGTTCTCAACTGAAAATCACCGTAACCCAAAGTACAGAAAGATCTCAAGTTGAATGAAAAAAGACAATTAATATACAACTCCCAGATGACAAATGTTACTGTTATCTAACAAAGATTTTAAAGGAACCTTCAAAAATGCTTCAACAAGCAACTGCAAAAGCACTTGAAACTGATGAAAAGACAGAAGGCATCAACAAAGAAAGAGAAAGTCACAGGGAATAAACAGATGATATAAAGAAAAACCCAATAGGAATTTCAGAAAAGTAAAATAATATACATAAAAAGTGGAAAAGTCAGTGGGCTTAGCAGCAGAATGGATGGTATAGAGGAAAGCAGCAATGAACCGGATGACCAAAAAAAAAAAAAAAAAAAAAAAAAAAAGAGCA